TACTTGTTTGCCTGCCCTGTACTCCTCAAAATGAGCAAACCAATAGCTGTCAAGAGCTGTACCCATTCTAATGGTGCCCATGCTATGGTCACGTACAGTGCTACAGTCGTCATCAATTGAATCACTAGTAGTTTTGTTTGAATACATGCAGATCTTCACCATGAAGATGCCTGAGGTGAGAAATGAAGCCGGACCATGATGCCCAGGGAGGTTGTGCAGGCTCCATCCTCAGAAGTCCGAGATCTACCTGGAGAAAGATCTCAGAACTGGCCCTGCTTTGGGCAGAGGGACTAGATAGACTAGGTAGACTAGATATCCCCACACATCCCTTCCCACCTGACTGACTCTTGTGATTCATGAATTCCAAGCTCAGGGGCACACTCTCAAACAATTATGAACCAACTGCTCAGGAATGAGTCTGGCAGAAGGGCAAAAACTCCTCATGAAGAGATCAGCCTTCCTAAGTGCTGGTCAACCCAACCACACTGCCTTGTAACTTACTCACAGCTTGTGGAAGGGTTTGATCCAGTCAAACCATGCCAATGACAGTGACAGATGGATCCTGCCTCCTTACAGATCAATTGCCAGTCTTGCCTTCCAACCTAGCTCCAGGGCCAGCCACAGCACCCCAAGCTGCTTCAGTCCAGCTGAGATGAGGGCACACAAGTCTCTGCTTGGGCTTACCTATAACAGCCATTTCACCAGAGAGACACTGACTTCCAACAGAGACTGTAGCATTACCCAGTGGCAGTGCGATGAGCACAGCTGTCTGCCAGGTATACCCTTATCTACACTCTCAACCCATAGCAGAACAAATTTGGAGGACTTCCATACACAGCACGGAGGCCAAGAGCAAAGCACATCAGAGACATGCTAAGATAGGACAGTATTTAGAAATGCCATTGGCAACTTTTACTTTGAAAAGCTTCAAAATTACAGGAAATTGTTCGGACTCCCCCTGCTAAGAAAACAAACTGAGAAGCGTGACCAGGAAACACTGTTTAAATGTTGGCTCTTTCTCATGGTTAGCAGGCAAGGGAAGGAGGTGAAGAAAAAGAGCAGGAGAAAAGCATGAAATGTCTTCTCTGAACTGCAGTCTGAAGTCTTTGACTTTTCCTTGATACCAGTAAATCTAAAAGAAAATAAAATCTCTCCAAGTCTGGTTCCTAGATGGAAGAAGGTCACAGCTTGTTACAAAGAAGACAAAGCACATGGTCTGCAATATTCAAACACAGGCTCTGCTCGTGCAAGCCAGCTACCAAGTAATCACAGACCACTGACAACACCCACTGGCAATACATACATAGGTACACACACATGATGCTACACACTTTCCTTTGGAAGACCTGCATTAAGAGCCAATCTGAGCCTGCAGCTACCCCACTGCCACTCAACCACTACTTTTTGACTTGCACAAATGTATGTTTCTAAACGCTCAGGGATGATTAATATCCTTTGAGTGATCTCTAAGACTAAGAGTTCATACGCAGATTAACTGCTTAAGCAAGCTCAGGGGCAGAGACCAGCTCTCTTACACTGGCAAAAACCTTGTTCTCTGACAATCATAATCATTTCAGAACTGCTGATTAATTTTCCTTATCTGAACTTCTTTTTTTTTACTTTTAAAGTCCTGCCTGTTCCTTTTATTTGAGGCTTTTCAGTATTTGCTTCTTTCTTGAGTATTAGAGACTGGCTTTTGATTAAATACAACATTTGGAAGCCTGACTGCAGTACTGCCTGCCTTAGGTCACAGAATCATACAATATTCCAAATTGGAAGGGACTCGTAAGGGTCACTGAGTCCAACTTCTGGCTCCAAAAAGAACCTCCTCATTTTATAAAAATCATTTAAAAACATAGGAATTGCACGATAAGCTGCACTACCATTTATTCCTAGTCATTTTCTATCCACTGCTAACTGGTTATCTACCATTTCCAACAGGAGTTTGGCTTCTGGATTATTTTCATTATTTCTCCTTGGCGTTTATATTTATCTTTGTATTTCTAAATGTCTTTTAAAAACCTGGTTCAATTAAAAAAAAATAATCGAGAGAAAGATTAAATGGTATCTTAAAATGAATGTTTAGAGAAGTTTATAACCCTGCCATACATTCATCATACACAATCCTCCATATCCTGGGCCACCATGGCTAACCACAATCAGGACTTCAGCTGCCTGACAAGGGTCTTCTGTCTCAAAAACTCTCTATGTATCAACTCTAAGAAGCTCTGGGAGATGTCAGTGTTATAGAACAGATGCTTCTCTGCAAAAGCCTGTGCAAACCAAGTTATTTCTCCTGCCAGATCTATTCCTATTTCCCCTCCCATAAATACGTGATTAATATACAGCAGGATGGTATAAACAGTAGTGAGTATGCATTAAACTGGCAATAAATGGGGTAGTGGCAGGAAGAGCACAGAAATAGGTTGCAGAGCAGTACAATAGCTTGATTTAATCAGTTGCGTTACTTGCTGAAAAACAGTAATCAGATACCACAAGCTTTTGCATGCCAAGAATGCTGCACTTGAAGAAATCACATCTATGACTTGGGCCAGCTTCCCCCTCTGTAGCTACAATTAGCAGATAAGGGAATTCTTCAGACTTAAATGATCACGTTCCACGTTTTGGAGCTCAGCAAAAACCAGCTGAGCTATCTGGAGGCAGGCCAGACGAGGTCAGGACAGCACAGAGGGTGTGATCATCTATCTCCTCACCCACGCTAGGGACACAGGGTGGGCCTCAGAGCATACCCATCAGCTGCACTAAAGGGGAGCCTCCTGCATCAGCCATAGAGGAACACCCTGGAGAAAGCCCTGCAAAAGCAGAATAAAAACCACGGAAGGCCAAACATCTCCTGCAACCTCCCCATTAGGTGATCCCACAGCATGAGTGACCCAGAGCCACCTCAGGAAATGAAAGCCAGCAAGATCTTCATTGCACCTTCATTAAATGCAGTATCTCCAGGCTGGGCTTTGAGTCAAAATCAACATATTCAGGTGCTAATATGACTGAGGCTGTAACCTCCTGTTATTTGAACCAACCCTTCCCCACAAAAAGGGAAAGGACGTGCATGCCCTTCCTACTCCTCCCTTCCTATATACCCTATGTCAGCCCTGCAACACCCTCCCCCACCAACACTGGAGTCAGCTCCAGGACTACTCCAAGCCTCTCATAATGTAAGGCATCTTTGCTTGTGAACATGGCAAGACATGCACATCATTCTGTTTTAACTGCCACTGGGCTGCAGAGGAGGGAGACCTTCCTCTCCTGCCAGAGGCAAACTTCTCATTGATGGCCCTTGAGTTTCACATAAAGCCAAAGCTTTGGGAAACAATGTTGGCCATCACAGCACCTGATTAAAAGGACAGCTTTGTCTGGGAACTGTGCCTCCATCATGCTGCAGCAAAGCACATCGGGGAAACAGAGCAAACCTACAGCATGAGCTGCACATGGTTTATATACTGGATCAGCTCCTTGGTCTGACTGTCACACGTGGCATCACCCAACCCACATACACACACACACATACACACAAAAAAAAAAGAAATTAACGTTTGGATTTGCCATGAATCACAAAATAGTGCAGCACCTTTCAGAGCAGCAATCCCTTTGACATTAGTTGTTATTTGATACGATGGAATGGGAGAGAAAGAAAAAGAGAATGAAAAGGAAATGTTTCACATTTTTATCTGTGGCTTTTTTGTTTGGTTTTTTGGTTTGTTTGGTTTTTTTTTTGTTTTTTTTTTTTACATGTACTGTCAGCCTATATCCCAATAAATGTCTGCACATCTCTTCATAACATAAATGTCAGCCCTGCTGTGGACTGGAGCCTCAGGATTACCGTACTGGCAGAATTAACATATTCCTCATAAAAAATATAACATTTCATAACATTTCATTATCCACTGTAAACTGCATGTGCTTTCACTCCAGGGAAACTGGAAATATCACCCAGGCTGCCTGTCTTGCCATTTATCCACGCACTGGGGCCTTCTGTTGGATGACAGATCAGTCTTCTAGTTTCATTCTTCTTTCTCTACAATGCAGAATTTTTTAATTTTTTTTTCCCCCTCTGTTCTGTTTTTGCCTTTATAAACATGCCACACCATAAAACCTCTCACTTGAAAAAGGTTGGAACCCTGGAACAAACAAAACAGGGCTTATTTGTCAGGCTGAACGTAGCGTGGAAGGAACCTATGGTGCTCTATGCAATAAGGGGAGAAGGCAATAGAGAGGTAAGAAAATCACAGGCAGAAAAGGCAAGGCTCCAACTCATTTATACATAAGCTAGAGCCCATGGTCAGTAATGAGGTACTTCAGAATTGAATCTGTTCCCTTCTGTGGTTTAAACTCACTGTATTTTTCCTTCCCACTAGTAGGCTGGGCTGGCTGTAAATTCAAAGATTTGCATAAGCCACAGATTTTGTCTGTCTCTTTGAAAGGTCAAAAATTAGAGGCAGTACAAACAAACACATGTGACAAATAGGCCAGCTGGCAGCAATTTGGAGTGACCACATGGAGGAAGTGTGGAGGAGAATAAGGGCAGGATAGGAGCCTTTAAATGTTTGGGTCTTACATATATTATAAGTTACAGGCTGCCTCAGGGGAATGTTATTATTTTCCTTAACCAGCTTTGTATCTTTGCAAAGATTAGTGACTGACTACCCAGATTTAGTGCTGTCACGTTTCCACATAAACATTTCTGAATATATATTCTTTGATAAAAGATGCAGCTGCTGACATGATTTTTCACATAAACATTTCACTGTGCATTATATTTCATATTACAGAGAAGTTTTCCCATTTTTATTTCTAAGAGACTGCTCGCTCTCTTCTGCAGGCTGTGGAGCACTGCTTTAGGACTGAGAAAGGAATGGACACATAAGCAGAGCAAAAGAGGGGTGAGCAGCAGCTGCAGATGGATACACAAAAAAGTTTATTTACAAAAAAAAAAAAAAAAAAACCAACCAAAACAACAAACCACCACAGTTGTTACTCACATCAGGGTGTTACAGTAGGAAGGCCGGGAAACATTTGTTGTCCTCTGTAGCTTCTGGAATGAAAAAGAAAGCTTAACAGGTCAGCTTCAAACACCCGGCCAGACACGCAGCTGGTGTTAATCTGCATGACCCTCATTACCTGCAACAGACCTCTGCCAAATTCTGGCAGCCAAAGAGCCAGCCAGATTTTTATTACTAACATCACCTCGACCTATTAACGTAAGGGGGAAAATAATTCAAATCCAAATTGCTTCTCACTATTTGTTGTTGCTCTTTATACTTTGCCAGAGCCACGAAACCCAATTAAGTCGGTTCCACTTTTGTTTCCAGTCAGCTCACTCCAGGCACTCACGGCTGCAGGATCTGAGGTTGCAAGTCCTGCAGGGAATATTCCCTTGTTTAAAAGCAGCTCTTTCCACTGGACTCGGTTTTAATTAATTGTAACATTTCTATTGATCTGGAGTTTTATAAAAAGCTTGCCTTTGGATGGCACGCTGTCAGTAACATTAAATTAGGGGGCCAAGCGTGGTTTAGACTGGCTCTCAAAAAGCAATAAACAGAAAGCACTGACTCATGTATAAAACGGTAAATAAAAATGAATCTTAAAAATAAGGCTGTAAAACACTCATCCAGCTAGAGCAGTAAGAGGTCATGTATGCCCAGCTAATATTATCACCACATGCTGTTCGGTGAGTCAAAGTGTGGCTGACAGACGGCTTCCCGAGCAGTCACCCAGCCCAGACAGACCGGGGTCGCTCTCTCTGACCAACTGTCTTCACTCCATCTACAAACACAGCTCCATGCAAGTGCTTGCTGATGGCTCTTTATTTAAAGCAGTTGCTCTCTGCGTTGTGGAATAAGCCCCTGTGACTTATAAGGAGAACACAGGACCTCCCATTGCCATTCAGCTGCACGCAGCACAGCCAGCCCTTTCAAACCTGGCCCAAACCCACAGGTGATGTAACACCACCAGGCATCCCTCTGATAAATGCACCTTCTTCAAAACCTGCCGAGCAATTTCCATCTGAGTGCAGCAACTTGTACCGGGGCTTAATGCTCTCTTCCATGCATCCCCTCCACAAAGAAAATCTGTGCCAGCTGCTATAGGAACACGGTTAATCTCTGCAAGCAGATGTCAGCCTCCAAAGCTGAGAAAATGACTTTGTTCTTCAGGAGCAGGGAATTTAAACTGCACAAAGTTGAAATGCCCTGATGAATTTGGTAACTTAAACCCAGAAAGGAAGCACCTGCTTTCTGAATAGCTGCCTAATTAAATCCCGCTGCTGTTTTATGTGTTCATAATTCAACATGAACAGTCTTTTGCTAGTTAACAACGCACTGGCTGCGGTCAAACAGCAACCTAGCCAGAAAGAGTAGAGACAACTGCTGAGGGCAGATCTGCTCCCACAGGGAGACCTTCTCCTGCCACAGCTGGAGGGCCCAGGGCTAGGTTTCAGCTGTGCTTCACAGGGCCACAGTTAAAGGGTTTGGTAACCTGCAGTTGACGTGTGGCATCTTCCCATTTTTTCATGCCAGTGCTGGCATACAGTGAAAAGTTGGGGGGGGAAGAAAAAAAAAAAAAACAGCAACACATACAAAAAGATAATTTTCACCAATAAAGTAAACGAAATAAAAGCCAAGAATACAAGGAAGCGATCAATCTGCCTGCAGGATTAGCAACCGCAACAACAAAAAGCATGGAAATGTAGCAATCCCCTAAACCGAACTAAAAATAAAGTGGGCAGGATTCTCATGGCAGCCCTCTGGACATAGTGCTGCCCGCAGCAGCAGGAGTGAGGCTGAGCAGAAGCTGGAAATGGGCCATGCTGCATCCTCACCCGGCAGCTGCATTGCAGCGGTCATGGCAGTCATCAGCACGGATGGAGATTTTCATGGGTAAAGGAGACGAGAGGCAGAGAGGATGTGAGAGGTCCACATGGGTGACCCCAGGGCTCTGTGCTCTTCTGAGGAGTTTCTGTAGGCTGCATTCAGCAAAAAAAAAAAAAAAAAAAAAAAAAAGAGAGAAAAATCTGTAGCCACCACTTTAAGAAGAGCCTGGAAAAGCCCTCCTTTTGTTTTCTTATTAAAAGAACAGGCTGCCTAGGGGAGCAGTGGAGTGCAAGAGCCGTCTGGATGTGGCACTGAGGGACACGGTCAGTGGGCATGGTGGGTGTGGGCTGACGGTTGGACTGGGTCATCTTAGAGGTCTTTTCCAACATTAATGATTCTATGAAGTCTCCGTGCTTTTCCTCATAACCACCCCAACCCATGTATTAGTGGGACACCACATATCCCTTCTACAGCTGTAGCCTCTGCTGCTCTCAGAAGACCACTTGCCAAGTCCCAACAGCACTGCCCACAGCCATCCCCTCACTGTAACCCTTAGAAGCACAGAAGGTGTCTTGTGGTGATGACTCCCACGTATGTGCTGTCCTCCTGCCTTCAGAAACCACATCCACGGCCAGCCCTGAGCCATGCACCAAGAGACACATGCAGCAACACCAGCTCACTTTATAGGCCTGCTCTAGCAGCCTTTCTTTTCTCAGAAATGATATCGGCATTACTACACACACACAAAGGATGTTAGTATGGAAGTCTGAAGGTACAGTAGTGGTAATCCTAATTAAGGGCAGCACTGTCACTCTGTAAGGAACAAAATGCACATCGAAACCCAAGGCTTCCCACTGCAAAGCTCGCTTTCTACCTGCCTGGCAGAGCTTGAGAAAGTGACACTGGCTCCTCTCACAGCTTCCCCTGTGCTGGGCACAAGCAAGAGCAAGAGCAGGTGAGCTGCTTCCAGCTGCCTGGGCTCTGCCCCTCTTCCTCCACAGTTTACTTCTCTGTGTATTTCGTGTAAAAATAATCTTTGATACCTTACTACAGTAAGGTCAGAGCATTCCTGCTTCTTCCATCTGAGATTCCCCTCAGTCATGGCTCCAGCCATCTCAGAGATCTGTTTTGCCTCATCTACAAAAGCCTTTTCTATTCTTTTGTTGTCCTAGAAGTCTACAGCGAAACCAAAGAATCCCCAACAACCACTGCAAATCCTGTCTTTTTTTCTGATTTAAAATGGCTGTGACAGTACAATATCACCATACTGTACTTATCCCTGCAAACATGTAACTCTAATTCAACAATCCTATTACATATGCTCCTAGCATTTGTACAGAGGAGATTTAGCTCTGAGCTCTCCATTGCTTTATCTCTTTGCGTGTTTGCCAATGCAGAAATTATCTCAAGCTATAGACAGGTCACGTCCAAATGCTTCCCCCTATCTTGCTGTAAATCTGGAAAAAAAAATAACTGTCACGTAGGCTGCACTACACAGTCAAGACTACAAGCTCAGTTTCTAATAGTCACCCCTATGGCATGCAGTGGAAAGAGCTGGTCATGATATTTCCCTAGTGTTCTGTCTGTGACTCTATCAAAAAGACAACTTGTGCAACTCAGGGGTTCATGCAACTGGCTCCCAAGGAAGGCAGGGCACAAGAACTCCTGTCACACTTGTAAGGACTGGGGTCACTTCAGTAATGGTGGCAGTGAGAGCCACATGAGCTGGAGGGGAAGGAGTCTGCTCAAAGCACAGCAGCCAGCATAGGAGCTTCCAGGAGCAGAACTAGTAAAGGGACAAGAGAGGCAAAGAGAAGAACTATGTACAGAGACAAGGGGGTGGGGGGGGGGAGCAATTCTGTGTTTCAGAGACTTGTCTCAAAGCTTGAGGGTAGGTTGCTAGGTTAAGCATAATGCCACATTGCTGGTGGAATCACCCTATCCTGCTCTCTCCCACCTCTTACTCTGACACACCACACTGACGATCTTACCCTCCAGACACGGCCAGCTACCCATGTTTTTTTGTGCCCAACACTATTCATGCAAACTCATGGCTTCTGTCAGCAAACTGAGCCACCATATAGTTGTCTATATGCCTCAGCAAAACATCCACCTCTTCCATAAAAAAAAGAACTAAGATACTCCCATTTCATTTATTACAAGCACACTGTTCCTACAGGCCAAACCCCCACAATATATGTTTACATTTCTTGAATCATCATCTCCTCCATCTAATATCAAAAACCTGTTTTAATGTTGTTTTGTCACTCATCTGCTAGGGAATTCCTCCCTTTTTTACTGTGGTATCCCCTCCTGTGTCATTGCCCAAGACTTGTCTCTTACCTCACCCCATTTCTTCTCATATTACACCTCCAACACATTCTTGATGGCTCATAGTTACGTCACTATTAGCAAGTCAAAGCCCTGGTTACACAGCATTCACAGGCGAGACAGCTCTATCTCCGTGAGAATATCAGCCCAGCTTTCCCAATGCACAGCTCTCAGCACTTCTGATGTTGCAGCCCAGGAACAGCCCACGGAGCAATCAGCTCTACCTAGAAATCCACCCTTTACTTACCACTATGAAGTAATAGTTACAGCTGCAGATACTTCTGATTTGCCTTGCAGCAGCTTTACTTGAGAAGCACTGACTGTACCGCAGGATCTTAGAGCTGATGTTGGCAGGGTTCTTTGCATCCACCTGGCCCAACCCCTACTGCAGATGGGACATCCAGAGCAGGGTGCCCAGGGCCACGTCCAGTTGGATTTTGAAGACCTCTGAAGAGGAGACTCCACAGCTTCTGGGCAACCTATGCCAGTGCTCTGTCTGCTGCGCAGCACAGAAGTGCTGCCTGGTATAAACACACAGAGCAGAAAGGAAGGATTGAGACTAGTGGGCTTTGTAAGGTGTTTTTTCTGTACCAATCACTCCAGCAGCTGAACATTGTCACTGTCGTTAAACCTGAAGGGCAGAAGGTGTATCACATAGGCACACTCCCACTATTCATTCTAACCAAGACCACACACCCCCTTTGACTCCTTCATGCCACCCCAGCGTGGCTGCACCCACATGCCAGTCAAATCAGTGCCTGAAAATGCACTTGATGATGGCAGGTCCCTGTTCAGCCATGTGGCCTGAGAATACTGGGGCAGACACTACAAGGCAGAGGCACACAGGGCCCAGCAGAGGAAGAGGAGGGATAATACCATTCCCTTCAGCATC